TTTCCAGCATAATTTATTAAAGACTTTCTTTCCTCATTGGTACCTTTGTTACCTTTTTTTGAAATCTGGAACTGAGATAACTCCAGCTTTGTTGTTTTATCTTAGGATTGCTTTTATTTTTCCAGGTCTTTTCTGGTTCCACAGAAATTTTAAGATTGTTTCTTCTGTTTCTGTGAGTCGGCATCTTTACCCAAAATGAAATATACATATAGGTGCTGGCCTATTTCTGCTCTTCATTCTGTTCCTCTGATCTATGTGTCTTTTCTTTTGCCAATATTACACATCTTGATTACTATAACTTTATATTTTAGGTCAGGAACGACATTGTATACTTTTTTTATACTCTATACAGTGGATCTTTTAGAGTAGCTGCACATGGTAAAGCATATAGATAACATAGCATCCATTTAGTAAATATCTTTGGATTAGCTATAATAAAGAGCAAATGACACACCTTGAACTTGTACAGTGTTTTATATCAATTATATCTCAATAAAGCTGGGGAAGAAAAAAAATGACTATTAATACATAACATCCATGTATTTTTTTCCATTATAACTGACCTCTCAAATATTTACCACAGAAAATATGGAATAACATAAAATAAAACTATTTTATTTAAATCCACTTTGTGGAAAAAAACACATCATACACTCAAACCAAAGAGGGGTCTCATAAGAACCTGGATAAATATGTGATAAGTGTCTTATAAAAAAAACACTGATGCTTCATGAAAGGATTCTATAAACACGAGTTCAAGTTTAAGCCAGTTGTAAGTAAGCCCTGATAAAGGGCCTTCTTAGTTAAATAAAACTATTGAGTTCTTCCCCATAGAAGTAAGAAATGTACCTGAAGCCCGTAACTTCAACCTTCTAAAGGCTCTTTTCTTCACTGTACAACTTCCTTTGAAAACAGTTGAAATCATGTCTGGAAGCATGCAAAGTGACCCCGTTTCCTCTAATACTCTCATAAGCAGATAGAGTTCATGTACAGTTCAGTACCATTTAAGGTCTTCACTGATAATGAGAGTACAGACTAGATGGAAAAAATAAAGATCTAAGTTCTAAGATTCCATTTTTTAAGTAAGAAGAAAGAAATATATTTGCCAATCATGGAGTAAACCTAAATATATTTCAAAACTATTGAATCTACTGAAACTGCTTCCTAAAGACAACCCAGGCAGGAATCAATATAAAGCAGTAAAGTGACTGCTTTGTCTGCCTTCCAAAAAGCATGGCAGAAAATGAATATTTAATGATAGACAAGCCAATATGCTGAATGGAAGGGATAATGGCTTGGACAGAAGGATATTGTTACACTGGAGGATCAAGTGAGTTAAAATTAGTCTAATGATGAAATTTTTAAGTCTTTGCTTTATGGCTTTTGTCTTCAAATACCAGTCGTAGGTCTGTTTTAAATCCTACTTTCATGGGCCACAGAGTTTTACCACATGCATGCAGAGAATTCATCCTTATAATTACCCACAAAGGGTCCTTGAAACTAAAATTGAATTTACTTACTTCTTTTCCTTGGCTTAGCATTTCTACCTGGGGTACAAAACAGAAGACATATCAACAGTCTACAGTGTTTTTTAAAAACCTTTTCAAAGATCTCCCAGTTTCCAGTTCACCTTGGTCTCTGAAATATAAAGAATAATTCCATCAAGCAGTGACAAAGAAGTCTTAACAGGTCAGGCTTACCTGGGAAGAGTCAACCTACAAGAAAGTTTGAAATCAAACTAGATGGGATGATTTCCTCCTTTGAAAGTGATGAATTTGCTGTGGTTATTGACTTATATAGTCATTGATTTCCTCATATATTTTGGGGAGAACTCTATAATCAGATTATTGAATTTTATATTTTGTTGCATGAAAATTAAAAGTTTTAAAAGCATATTCAGTTGAGCTGGAGGAGTTGCTTGTATATTTTTGAGATTAATCCTTTGTCTGTTGCTTCGTTTGCTATTATTTTCTCCCAATCTGAGGGCTGTCTTTTCACCTTGCTTATAGTTTCCTTTGTTGTGCAAAAGCTTTTAAGTTTCATTAGGTCCCATTTGTTTATTTTTGTTTTTATTTCTAAAATTCTGGGATGTGGGTCATAGAGGATCCTGCTGTGATTTATGTCGGAGAGTGTTTTGCCTATGTTCTCCTCTAGGAGTTTTATAGTTTCTGGTCTTACATTTAGATCTTTAATCCATCTTGAGTTTATTTTTGTGTATGGTGTTAGAAAGTGTTCTAGTTTCATTCTTTTACAGGTGGTTGACCAGTTTTCCCAGCACCACTTGTTAAAGAGGTTGTCTTTTTTCCATTGTATATCCTTGCCTCCTTTGTCAAAGATAAGGTGACCATAGGTTCGTGGATTTATCTCTGGGCTTTCTATTCTGTTCCATTGATCTATATTTCTGTCTTTGTGCCAGTACCATACTGTCTTGATGACTGTGGCTTTGTAGTAGAGTCTGAAGTCAGGCAGATTGATTCCTCCAGTTCCATTCTTCTTTCTCAGGATTACTTTGGCTATTCGAGGTTTTTTGTATTTCCATACAAATTGTGAAATTATTCGTTCTAGTTCTGTGAAAAATACCGTTGGTAGTTTGATAGGGATTGCATTGAATCTGTAGATTGCTTTGGGTAGTATAGCCATTTTGACAATATTGATTCTTCCAATCCATGAACACGGTATATTTCTCCATCTGTTTGTGTCCTCTTTGATTTCTTTCATCAGTGTTTTATAGTTTTCTATGTATAGGTCTTTTGTTTCTTTAGGTAGATATACTCCTAAGTATTTTATTCTTTTTGTTGCAATGGTGAATGGTATTGTTTCCTTAATTTCTCTTTCTGTTTTCTCATTGTTAGTGTATAGGAATGCAAGAGATTTCTGTGTGTTAATTTTATATCCTGCAACTTTACTGTATTCGTTGATTATCTCTAGTAATTTTCTGGTAGAGTCTTTAGGATTTTCTATGTAGAGGATCATGTCATCTGCAAACAGCGAGAGTTTCACTTCTTCTTTTCCTATCTGGATTCCTTTTACTTCTTTTTCTGCTCTGATTGCTGTGGCCAAAACTTCCAAAACTATGTTGAATAGTAGTGGTGAGAGTGGGCACCCTTGTCTTGTTCCTGATTTCAGGGGAAATGCTTTCAATTTTTCACCATTGAGGGTGATGTTTGCTGTGGGCTTGTCATATATAGCTTTTATTATGTTGAGGTATGTTCCTTCTATTCCTGCTTTCTGGAGAGTTTTAATCATAAATGGATGTTGAATTTTATCAAAGGCTTTTTCTGCATCTATTGAGATAATCATATGGTTTTTATCTTTCAATTTGTTAATGTGGTGTATTACATTGATTGATTTGCGGATATTAAAGAATCCTTGCATTCCTGGGATAAAGCCCACTTGGTCATGATGTATGATTTTTTTAATATGTTGTATAACAACTAATTCTTATTTGACTCCATTAAAATTTTCAGCATGCAACTAGGTAATATGCAAATGTAAATTTGTTTACACTCTCTATATTTAGTGATGTGATAACAAAATTACCTCATTATGTTTCTGTAAGTAAACTGACTACTGTGTGATCTGCATCTAGTGTTTCTCACTAAGAGGTCCTTAACAACGATTATACACTTGTTCCTGATTCTTTTCATTTAAAACTTACCTTCAGTTTTAATGCAATGTGTTATTTTTGAGCTATACATCTGGTGTTGGAACATAACAGTAAATCTAATGAAGAATTATGAAGGGTTTGGTGCTTGGAGGTCAAACTGACCTGGGTTTCCATCCTATGTCCTGTTAATTATTAGCTGTATGACACTGGGCAGTATTTCTAGCCAGACTGGGTTTCAATTTTTAATTTATAAAATGGATAAAATAATACCTACTTAATAGGGTTGTTATGAGTAATTAGACAATATATGTAAAATATAAAATGCTTATACTAGTGCATGGCACACATCAAGGTTTGATATTATTATTTTTATAATCATAATTAATTTTAATGACAGAATTTTAACCAAAAAAACTCTAATCTATGCTCCTTATCAAGCTGCATGCTGCTATTTAACTTTTCGAGGGTATGTTTCTGTATTTTCTTTTTACATTTTTTTATTGAAGTACAGTTGATTTACAGTGTTGTGCCAATGTTTCTGTATTTTCTGAATTGCCTGCTTGGATAGGAGGATCTCTGTTATTAAATCCACTCCTTTTACATCTTAGAAAGATATTTTCCTGTGCTTTTTAAGTTTAGCTATGTCATCTTTTGCGTTTAAAAGATTTTCATAACCTTACTTTAAGATTCCAACCAAGTTTGACTAAAACAAAAGGACCTCACAAGGTTCTGTAATGCTGAGGCCAGCTATCTGTACTCTGTCTCATTTTAATCAATTTCTATTCCTTCAGAGAGATTAAATTTCTCATAATTACAAGTGAAGTGAACATAGGGCTTATGCAGACCAGGGTTTAAATTCTATTTCAGAAAATTGTGATGATGATTAGATTAATGCAAATGGAAATAACAGATATGGAAACTCCTAGCAAAATATTGAGCACATAGTCGACTTCAAGTAAAAGTTGAAGTTGCCTTCTGCTGTGTTCTTTTTTTTTTCCCTCTATGGATCTCTTTAGGCATCCACAGGAGACTTCTATCAACCTGTGTGAACATTTCATTCTCTGTGCTGTCAAGAAGTGCCCACCAAATAGGTTTTGTGGTGACCAAAATTTTCCATCTGCTAGTCACTGTGTCTGGAGGATGGAGGGTCACCAATGTCTCCATAAAAACAGAGGATCACAGCACTGTATTACACAAATCATGAAATGATTGTCACAATAAGTTAGTGAACATCTCACATAAATACAAAAGAAAAAAAAAATATTTTTCCTTGAAATGAGAACTCAGGATTTACCTTTCATATATAACATGTAGCAGTGTTAATTAAATCTATCATGTTGGCCGCCCTTGTTGTTATTCAGTAGTTAAATCGTGTCTGACTCTGTGCCACTCCATGGACTGCAGCACACCAAGCTTCCCTGTCCCTCATTATCTCCCGGAGTTTGTACTTTTGATCATCTTCATCCAGTTCCTACTCCCCTTCTACTTCTTAAGTGAAGCAGTGGCTTTAAAGGATGTTTATTTTATAAAATTTATTAGGTTACAAATTTGTTTCATGAAGTTTTGTGTCTGTTATGTTTTAAAATTAGACTGTGGTGTAACAAAAAATGTATTAGGTCTTTGCCCCAGTAAAAGGCACAAAGATCCTAAAACCCTTGGAATTTCTCCAATGATAGGTATATCTTTCCTCATTGGTGGCTCCCCTGGTGGCTCAGACGGTAAAGCGTCTGTCTGCCATGCAGGAGACCCGGGTTCGATCCCTGGGTCGGGAAGATCCCCTGGAGAAGGAAATGGCAACCCACTCCAGCACTCTTGCCTGGAAAATCCCATGGATTGGTAGGCTACCTGGTAGGCTACTGGTAGACTACCGACCATGGGGTCACAAAGAGGTGGACACAACTGAGCGATTTCACTTCACTTTACTTCCTCATTCATAAGAAGCTGCTTCTGAGCACACTTGAGTTTATGCTTCCCTGAGTTGCGGCTTCTCTGGTGGCTCAGATGATAAAGAATCTGCCAACAATGCAGGAGACCTGGGTTTGATCCCTGGGTTGGGAAGATCCCCTGGAAAAGGGAATGGCAACCCTCTCCAGTATTCTTGCCTGGGGAATTCCATGAACAGAGGCGCCTGGTGGGCAGTCCATGGGGTCACAAAGAGTTGGACAGGACTGAGCAACTAACACATCACTTGACTTAGGGTGGGATTCCTACATAGCCTCAGGATGGGGTTGGTCATCAGAAAGACCTGATGTGTTTAGAGGGTTGGAACTTTCAGCCCCGCCCACTGACCTCTGGAAGGGAAAAGGATGCAAGGGTGCTTCAGATTGAGTTCTATAAAAATTCTTGAATAAGCTTTGATGAGCTTTGAGGTCGGTGAATGCATCCAGGCACTGGAAAGGCAGAGCACCCACTTCTATGGGGGCAGAAGCTCAGGTGCTCTGGGCCCTTCTACATCTCACTCCTTATACCTCTTCATCTGTCTGTCCTTTTAATAATGTCCTTTGTAATAAACTAATATGAATAAACGTTTCTCTGAGTTCTGTGAACCTCTCTAGCAAATTAATCGAACCCAAGAAGAGAGTCACGGGAACCTCCAATTTATAGCCAGTTGGGCAGAAACACTGCTTCCCAAGTGGTACATTGGTAAAGAATCCGCCTGCCAATGTAGGAGATGCAGGAGACCTGGTTTGATCCCTGGGTCTGGAAGGGAGGAGGAAATGGCAACCCACTCCAACATTCTTGTCTGGGAAATTCCATGGACAGAGGAGCCTGGTGGGCTACAGTCCATAGCGTAGCAGAGTGGGACACGACTGAACATGAACACACATAGACACACACAGGGTTAGAAGCTCAGGTAACAACCTGGACTTGGGTGTGTCATCTACAGTGGAGAGGTCTTGTGAGACTGAGTCCTTATCCTGTGGGATTTGATGCCATCAAAGAAGTGAGTTAAATTTGTAAGGCAACCTGTCATGTTCTCTGAGAATTGATTTGTGTGTGTTGGAAAAAAACACATTGGAGAAGTTTAAAAAATTCACCCATATCTTTCTGGATAGAAGATAATTAAATTTATAGATATAAGTTAAATTAATATTTAAAGGGTTGCATCCAGGTACATTCATTTTAATGGAAACCTGTTGGAGTTTACCTAGAATGCTGAATTGTTAAAAGAGGCGACTTTGGGTATTTACACTAAAAGTGGCACTTACTTTTGCCTTTTAACTTGTCACCAGTGGAAAAGTCTTCTACATTAAAGACTGCTTAGGGAATTCCCTGGCAGTCAAGTGGTTAGGACTCTGTGGTTTCACTGCTGAGGGCCTGAGTTCAATCCCTGGTTGGGGAACTCAGATCCCACAAGCTGTGCAGCATGATGAAAAAAAATTTTAATAAATAAATAAAGGCTCTTAAGAGGAATGAAATTGTTTCTTGTCACCAGAGGGTATATGGTGGGGTGTAGGAAGAGAATATGAGAACTTTAATCTAGTTATCTATTTTTAAATTTGATCCATTTCTATTTTTGTGTGTAGTTTATTGTGTACATATCAGCATTCTGATGCTATATACAATGTATAAATAAACAAATGTTGGCATGCACACTTAATTTTTTTTTATAGATGGGGTGTATGGGGGAATGGTTTGGAGATCCCTGGTCTGCTCACTTGAACAGTTCAGGTGTGAAATGAAAGGCAAAGTGAGGAGGAGGAATGTGGCAGGCCTCGGTAGACTGAAGGGGATGGTGTTGGGGAAGGTAAGCCTTTCCTTAGCTCAAGTTCACAGACCAGTGGGAAGGGGAATGAGTGATATCAGTAATTCCAAACATACTTTGTCCTCACAAAACCCCCATGAGATCTGAAGAAGTAATTTTATAGAAGAGACCCTAAGATCTAAACGGGTCAAATCAGTTAAAACATATCTATTAATAGGTATCAAAACTAAGTCTTATTTGTGTCCTTGATTTTGGAGTGATAATGTTTTACAGGATTTTTTTTGGTCTTGTGTTCTTTGTTTGGTCGAACTGCACAGCCTGTGGGATCTTAGTTCCCTAACCAGGGATTGAACCCACATCCCCTGCAGTGAAAGCAGAGCCTGAACCACTGGACCACCAGGGAAGTCCCAGTCGTATCTTTTTGCTGGTTGTAGTGGATTTATTCTCCTATTTAAAATTTGCACATAATAAAATTTTTTTCCTGGATTAGATAACAAATATATATATATATATATATATGTACATATACACATATGTATGTAGGTATATGGTAATTGTGTTGTAAATTATGAAAAACTAACCATAATTTTGTAGATACTCAAAAAGAGATCAAAAGTAGCCTTATCCAAAGCAGATAAATCTTTGGTAGTGTTAAATTGCTATCCTGGATTATCATTCTGACTTAATGTTCTAGAAACCCAGAGTTAAGATGGCCCTGCTTTCTGGTAACTAACCAGGCACGCCGACTTGCTAGCATTGTCACAGAGCAGTGTGCAATTTAGGCCCTTAGTGCAGGTCCCATTCACTGTGTGAAGAGAATAATGAGGGAGCATTTCCAGTGGCTCTTTCCTGAATTGCCAGTCTATGTTTAGAAGAGCGGGTCTATTTTGAGGAATGCTTATGAAACAGCATGAGAGCTAATTGCTGTTGTTGATTTAGTCTAGGGCTCTTCCTACATCATTATAATTTTGAAACACTTGTTAGAAGTTAGAACACTAGGCCTGCTAGACTGCATATCCTATGCAAGGCCAGAGGATCTCCAGGTCAAGTATGGATCAGGAACTCTGATCCCAAACCCAAAGCTGTAAAAGTTCAGTTCAGTTCAGTTGCTCAGTTGTGTCTGGCTCTTTGCAACCCCATGGACTGCAGCACATCAGGCCTCCCTGTCCATCACCATCTTCTGGACCCTACTCAAACTCATGTCCATCGTGTTGGTGATACCATCCAACATCTCATCCTCCATCGTCCCCTTCTTCTCCCACCTTCAATCTTTCCCAGCATCAGGATCTTTTCCAATGAGTTGGTTCTTCGCATCAGGTGGCCAAAGTATTGAACCAAAAATCAATCAGTAGGTGAGGCCTGGACACAGGGTATGGGTCACCATGCAGCAACACTGAACCCATTGAACTCCATGGTTTCACTCTTTTTTAGGAGATCACTGATCAATTATCAAGGCCTGAGGGAAATGGAGGCTAGTTGGAAGGCATCACCCAGCCCTTTCAGGGCTTGCATTTGGCCAGGAGCATAAGGCCAGAGGCATAAATTAAAAGTGTATTCAAAAAGTCTAAGTGGAGACTATGATAGTCTCAAAGATATGGGATTTCAGAGTCACAAACTTGTTATTATATTTTTCAGGAAGCAATGAATAGTTTGCAATTGAAAAGACATCCACTTTTTAAGGCAAGGCTGTCAGATCAGAGCAAAGGCTAACCAAGTCCAAGTGTGACACAGTTATGATTCACTGTCAAGAGTGGATTACACACAACAGTAGTTTCTTTAGTCATGACATTTAAAAGAGTCCAAGTAAACATTTTCAAAGTGATTTCATAACAAAGTGGTAGTGTTATATATTTTTTAATTTTTTCCTAATATGAAGTGGTCAAAAGCACAATTACAGAACAACTTGTTTGTGCGTGAGCTAAAATAATTTTGGCATCATGCTATAAGAATGATTCCTTCTACCGAGTCTATAAATGGCATAAAAGGACTGTTGAAGATGCCTTCCATTTTATGAGAGGATGGACAAGTTTCTTAGATGTTCTCAAGTCATTTTGGTAAGAAAAAGCTATATTTCCTTATAACTTCTACGGCTCTGAACTAACAAGAAACTCTCTTCTTTCTTGAGATACTTTACTTATTAATCTGCAGACTTCTACACTAGAACATCCCTAATTTGATCTCACCTTTCTGGAACACAGAGAGGGGAGACCACTTGAGTCTCCAAGCCCACTGAGAAGAAGAATGGATAATTAGGAACCTAAGAATTATTTGTAAATAAATCAAGACCATTCACTGCTGCGATGATGTTTTCTTGCTCTGCAGTCATAGCTACAGTTGGTCAGTGTGAACATTTGACTTTGCAAGTCTCATGATCTTGGGATACAAGTAACAAAAGTCATATGGCAATTTGTAATGTACATCTTTCTATTAACAAAAATAGGGGAAAGGTCATATACAGTATTACAAAATTCCAGCATTCTGGGTCTCTGTCACATCTAAGGGCTTCCCAGGTGGAGCTAGTGGTAAAGAATCCACCTGCAATGTAGGAGACTCAAGAGATGAAGGTTCAATCCTTGGGTCAGGAAGATCCTCTGGAGAAGGAAATGGCAACCTACTCCAGTATTCTTGCCTGGAGAATTCCATGGACAGAGGAACCTAGCAGGCTACAGTCCACAGGGTCAGACATGACTAAAGCAACTGAGTATCACTTCTAATAATTATCAGATGACTGGCCGACTAGAAAATTTCTGGAATGTTGTATAAAGAAACATCTATCTCTAAGGTGAAGGATGTGTGGAGACATTAAAAATCTAACTGTAAGTATGTTTGATTTTCTGAAGAATATAGTAAGGAACTGCAGTCCAGTCACATCTGTTTCCAGTCAATCCTTGTTCACACTAGGTTTGATTGACACTGACCTGGTACCCAATTGGGTGAATACCTTTGTTGAGTTTCATTATAATACTTTGAGTTTTATTTAAAGTGACTACAAAAACAACTACATAAAAGGTTCCTACAGTATAATCAACAATATATTATTGTTTTCCATTCGGTAGTCTTGACTGGAAATGTGAGTGAAAAAATCTTTTTCTTTGAATTCAGTGCTAGGAAACTCAGTGCTTCCACTGAGGAAC